AGAAAGAAACCCCATACCCATTAGCAGTCATTTTCCATTTTCCCACCACTCCTCCTCTGCCCCCAGCCCTAGGCAGCCACTAATCTACTTTCTGCTCTATTGATTGTCCTATTCTGGAGATTTTGTATAAACAGACATATACAATATGTGGTCTTTTGTGTCTGGCTTCTTTCACTTAGTATAATGTTTTAAAGGTTCATCCATGTTGTAGCATATATCAGTACTTCATTACTTTTTTTTTTTTGAGACAGAGTCTCCCTCTGTCACTCTAGTTAGAGTGCAGTGGAGTCATCGTAGCTCACTGCAACCTCAAACTCCTGGGCTCAAGTGATCCCCCGGCCTCAGTCTCCTGAGGAGCTGGGGCTATAGGCGTGCGCCATGATGCCTAGCTAATTTTTCTATTTTTTTTTTTTTTTTTAGTAGAGATAGGGTCTTGCTCTTGCTCAGAGCTAGTCTCGAACTCCTGACTTCAAGCAGTCCTCCCGCCTTAGCCTCCCAGAGTGCTAGAATTACAGGCATGAGCCACCACCACACCCAGCTTCATTACTTTTTATTGCTAAAATTTGTTTTTGGAGATTATTTTGGCATTTTCTTTCACTTAACTCTATTCTTTCCCTTTTCACTGTGAAATATACCCTGAGGTCTCTAGTCATAATTATAAACATTTCAAAGAGTAAACCAGTTCATTTCTATAATCTAAAGCGATCACCTGCATGATCTAGAGCATTTCACAGTTGATTTATATGTTACAAGAGAAAAGTTTTTTCAGCTTATTAAAATGTTTTCAAAAAATGTGATGGTAGGCCAGGCACGGTGGCTCACGCCTGTAATCCTAGCACTCTGGGAGGCTGAGGCAGGAGGATTGCTTGAGCTCAGGAGTTCAGCCTGAGCAAAAGCCGCGAGACCCTGCCTCTACAAAAAATAGAAAAAATTAGCCAGGCGTGGCGGCATGTGCCTGTAGTCCCAGCTACTTGGGAGTCTTAGGCAGGAGGATCACTTGAGCCCAGGAGTTTGAGGTTGCAGTGAGTGAGCTACAATAAGGCCACTGTACTCCACCAGGGCAACAAAGTGAGATTCTGTCCCCAAAAGAGACA